ATATCAGAGCGGCTCAATCTCTAACTGTTTTTAAATCCTCTCTTAAAACCCATTTTTTTTCTTTAGCTTTTAATTCATTGTGATATTAAGTCATGAATGTGTGGTTTGTCCTTGTTATTTATCTTGTCTATTATTCAGCACTTTGGTCAGCCCTGTTTGCTGATTTTAAATGTGCTATATAAATAAATACGAACTTGTACAAAAATAAGTGATTCTCTGTCTACAATCACTTTCCATGGACCCATGTTGCTGTGTGCTCCAACAGGTCTCCTAGCAACCGTCTCCAGGCAGGGTCTCCAGAGTGGGTAGGTTTATCAGGTAACTACATCACAGGTCTACTCAAGGTTGAGGAGGGTTTTTGGAGCAGTACACTGACCTTAAACAGGGTTAAAACAAGACACTACACTCAGTGGTTTATTAAATGGGAAGGTCCTATAGGGTTCTTAATGGCTTTTGAAGACAAGTGTGAATCAAACTTTGAAAGGAGAAGCAGGTAGCATTGAGGACTTGAGTGCATACTACAACATGAGTGGACATGAATGAGTGATCTTGTGCACATACACGACCGCAGGGGCAAAATAAAAGTGCTGACTGACCATGGATGTCTGACAGCATCTGGCTAATATCTAACTGAAGGGACAGACCTGTCAGAGCCTGTGGAAGGTATTTTTGGGAATATATCTTTAATAGACACTAGGGATTATAGGACAGAACAGGGAAGACTACAGGACTGGACAGTGAAGACAGAGTGTTGTCTCAAACCTTATAACAGACTGCAAGCTCTCTTTGACTTTTATTTTTAATAAAATATACACACGGTGAATGCGAAATGGCTTAGACTAGACGGGAGACATGTTCTGTGTTGACAACTCTTATTAAAACCAGAAGTCTTTAAAAAGAATCAGCTTTAGTTACGTTTAGTTTAGTTGTCTCATTCTAAGTAGGGCTGGGATAAACGATTATTTTTTTCGATGCTTCGATTAATCTAGCGATTCATTTTCCCAGTCCGATTCGATTTGATTATCTCCCCATTAATTGACAAATAGCAGGGAAATATCTGAATGAAAAAAATACATGAATACCTTAACATTGCAATATACAGTATGTTTATTGCTCTTAAAATCGCAAAATAAAAGACTATACAAGTGCAAAGTAATGCATTCTTAGTCAGAGGTAGCATTCAATAAAACCTTGAAGCCTTGAAAACACAAAAGTCTAGATTACTGAAAAAAAAGTGCAATCTGTCACGACACATTAAATAACCACAAAATAGTAGGCCTATTTATGTTTTAATTTTCTTTGACTGAGCAAATTTGAAAGTTGAGAGACTTTTTTAAATGTTACCTTCTTGGTCCTGGCACTTCGTGACATTTTTTCCTTTTGCGTGAAGAAGCCGTTCGCCGAGATGTCTTAAAAGATGATTATTAGGCTGCCGTTATAATAATCACCCTGGCGCCGGGTCTGAGTGAGTAATTTACTCTTTAAATTAAAATACTTAATATTACTCATTTAAGTCTGCTCTTATGAGGACACTCGACAAAACGGACAGATTGGCATAATTTGGCATAATAACATTTTATGTGGGTTGTTGTGTGTGTGTGTGTACTTTAGAGGAACGGGAGTGTGCCGCCTTGAACTTCTGATAGTCCGAGGAGCCACTCGTGTTGCTACTACTATCTGGCGCTGCCATCTTTGTTTTGGGTCTGACGAATCGACGCGCTTATGTCGACGTATTTTTTGCATCAACGTAATCGATGACGTTGACGCGTTGTGCCCTAATTTTAAGGTAATAAAAACATTACGGTTTATTAAGGAAGTTCTGTACACACCACTGGAAACATCACTATGGATGTCATACTGCATTTCTGTTAATAGATACTCAATTTTTAAGGTGATGTGTTTTAAAATAATGGTCACCTTGTGCAGGACATGAAATAAGTCAGGAGAGATGTCGTATTTTGCCAGAGAAGGTAAATGTGGTCTAATTTCTGCAAAAGAATTGCTGAAATTTAAAGCTGGTTTGTAGAATACCAAAAATACAGACTACTTTACTGTAATTGTTACTGTGTAACTTATTTAGTGTTAAATTATTGGAGATGACAGATGAGTGAGGTGGCTTATTGTGAATTTGTTCTATAAATTTGTTGTGTTTTAATTTTTACTTATAGCTATACATTTAAGTATACTTTAAAGTTTTAATATATTGTTCTATTGTAAAAAAAAAATCAATATTCAATAAAAAAGCCATACTTAATTTTTTTTTTTTTAAACACAAAACGATAGTGAATGACATTAAAGTATTGGTTCAGGCACCGGCACGTAAAAAAACCCAAACGATATACAACCCTACTGATTGGTGGAGATATCTTTGCAGAATTATGGATGTAATGTAGGCAGCCTATTTTTTTACCAGAAGAAAGACCATTGTTAAACACGATTATGTTAAAATAATGCAGAGATTGCAGACTGACAACTTTAAAAAAAAAAATCATATAGATAGCACAGATAATAACCTTGTAACAGTAGGGTTACAAGTTATTGTTAAAAATAAATTCCTCTATAGGAAAAAAAAAGAATCTGACTTTTGCACTCTATCTAAAGAAAACGGTAACACTTTACAATAAGGTTCATTAGTTAACATTAGCAAATGCATTAACTAACATGAACTAACGATGAGCAATGCATTAGTTACAGTGTTTATTAATCTTTGTTAATATTTAATACAAATACAGCTGTTCATTGTGCGTTCATGTTAGTTCACAGTGCATTAACTAATGTTAACTAATACAACCTTTGATTTTAATAACGCATTAGTAATTGTTGGAATTAATATTAACTAAGAAGATTAATAAATGCTGAAGAAGTATTGTTCATTCTAGTACATCTTAACTAATGTAGTTAACTAATGTTAACTAATGAACCTTATTGTAAAGTGTTACCAAGAAAACAAACTGGTACACCAACACATTTCTGGTTACTATTACTTTGATAAAACAAAACATCAAACAGGTTAAACTGTTTGTTAAACAAAACATAAAAACAGGTTAACTTTGCTGAGTATCGCACTGTTTATGTGGAGATTAAAAAAAAGATACAAATCGCTCAAGGATGGTAAAAAAAATTCAAATGACTAGCCAATCCACACTGTTAAACATTACAGTTTTGTACAGTTATGAAGCCAACTACTAAATAACCCAGAATAATACTGCAAGTTCACTGCAAATTCTCTTTACAGTAAATAACTGATTCTTTCCTTACTTTGTTGCCAGTAAGTAAGGTACTGTGAACACCCTCTGAAATGTCTAACAGGCACATAATATACATGAAAGAGCATTGACAGAAATGACATATGCAATATTACACTGGTGAAAAGGCCATGTCTTCACATATCCTGTTTCACTTTATGAATAATCAGTATTGTGACAGAATGACAACACAAATGAGAAATATCCTTGTAGCCAGCACCTAAAACAATATCCCTGTCTGCGGAGAAGGACACAGAACACAACTGTCAAACTCAAAATTCTGTTGTGATGGTAATGAGTTTGACAAGTTAACACCATGAAGGAATAAATGTCATCCAGGCAAGCCTACAAAAACATACCTGAATGTATCTCACAGTAATGGGAAATAGCTCAGATAAACAACACAAGCAAGCTTGCACACATTCCACATATGCATTAAACCAAAAGCAGTGTGTTAGATTCTAGTTGATCAGTAACCAGGCAGGTCATCGCCCTATCCATGCAATTCTTTCTCACTCTATTTTTACCTTGTGCTGGTTTGTATGCTATGTAACCTGAATCTCTATCTAAAGAACACAGATAACCTGGCTTTTACCACAACTCTACAAGCAGTTCCAGATGTTACTGAAAAGAGAAATAATCAGAGGAGTGGCTAGATTCTGTTAATGCTTGTGTTAACCTCATTCCCTTCCTCCCATGAACCACCAGCTAGTCAACAACCAGAAGTGCCCAATAGTACTAGACAGCATGTGAAACTAACAGAAAATCAATGTTAACTGGAGACAAGTCCACTGCCAAACCTAGGGTGACTGTTTGCATTCTAAGCCAAGGGATCAATCAATAGCAGGTCTTGTATGTAGACTGGATAATACACAACCTCAGTTTCAGACATCTCGAGGAGTCTTCCTGAAAAGGGGGGTAACACGTGGAGCTTGCATTGGCAGATGGCAGTCTGAAAGAAGCCCCTCTTGATGGCTTTAAGACGGTTAAGCCTATTGTGTAAACTGCTAACTAACAACAATATTCAAGAAATGTATTCTGGAAAATGTGTAATTCCTCCTAAGCTTGAAAACTTGGAAATTAAATGACGCATATCTGCTTCAGCAGCAGCATAAGATAAGACTTCATAGGGATAATGGAAATACACCGCTAAATAAATAAACAGCTTTACGCGGACTGGGATTGTTGGTATCAAGGTTAAATCGACGATGAAAATAAAAACAAACTTAACTCTCCAAATGTACAGTAGGCTAATAACACGTATTACCAGTTACTTGAATTCGGGACGTGTAAGCTTTCAGCAGAATCATATTTAATGTAGGCTGTAAATTGTATTTTCCTATTGTCCCTTATACACGTAACAATTTAATAAATTATTGTAAAATAATTAAAAATGAATTTCAATTATTAGAATTTCATTGAATATTATTAGGCTATTTGCATCTAAATATCGCCGTAGTAAGATTAAATAAAACAAACAAACAAACTGCCGTTAGACTTTGAAACTAACGTTGGTGGCTGTTTTTCTTCAACTGAACACTGTTCAACGCTAGTAGGTTACTATTACATTTGGTTTACAGCTGGAACTTATACAGAAACGGTACCAATATAAAACTCCGATATAACAAAAAAACTAAAAGTTGTAAGAAAACGAAATAAAGTATTAAAAAAAACTTTTGAGGGAAGGTAGCCCGCGAGCTAACTAAGTCCGCAGCCTTCCGGACAATAAAAAAACAAAACAAAAAAAAAACTTACCTGCGAGAAGAATTCCATAGATTAAATAGAGGCAGTTGGTGCTCAGATCCATTCTTCTGCCTTTAAGTCACAATTTAGTAATATGTGTAAGTAAAAAAAACAACTTTTCTCCCCGACTTAAACTGTTTCGTGTTCAGTCTTCTTTCGCCAGTCTCGCGCAGCATCAATAGTCCACTAGCTCAGCTCGCTCGCGCAGGTGGATTGTGGCTGGAATTTGCTCACGTGATTTCCGGAGGTATCAGCCGGAGAGTTTTCACGCCCTCTTGCGTACACAAGCTCCAAAAGCGACAGAATTTCCCGCATATTGAATTCATAATATTCCCACACCACCAAGTGAATTCGCAGCTGTGTTTGTTGCAACAAATATTTAAATTACCAGCAACTCCCACCCCTCTCACCAAATCACTCCCTTGTTGGTAAAAGATGTTTCTCCTGTCGTCGTCGTAGTAATAATTATAACAGATCAGCCCTTTCCCAGGAGGATGTTGTTGCGAAATCAAATGCAATTACATATTGGAGTCAGTTTGTAAGTGATGTGTTGACTGGGAAAAAGTCTGCTTTTTCAAGCAAAAGCCAGAGACAGCTGTTCATTTATTACGTCACTGCCCTTTGTTGGCAAAATGTTGGCTACTTGATTTTGTTGGAAATGTTGATGAAAATGTTACCTTACAGTGGAAATACGTTCTTTTAGGTATATTGTTAACTCCAAAGATAAACCAAACAGCACTTATTTAATTTTTAATGGATTATTTTAATTAACAAATATAGTATTTTATAGTTTTATAGTATTTAAAATTGAAGTGAGGCATTATATTGAGTCAATATTACCCCTCGAAGAAACAAAAAGCTGTTCAAATTTTACACTGTTTAAGTATTCTTATAATATTGTTTATACCGCCCCGTAGCATTTGAAAGTTTGAATTGTTTTGATATATTCTTCAATAAAAAAGAAAAATACTGAATAATTCATTGACAAGTACTGATCACTTTAATGCAAAATCTAACCTCAACCCCTCATTTCCCCCAGTTGATTTTACAGTCTCTTGAGTTCTTCATCACTGTGTATTCTAACACTCATTTTTAAAGTCTTTTGAGAATCACATAAATTGTTATGATATGACTTAGGAGCAACTATTTTGATACTTTTCATCTAAAAACATTAGCTTCCCCCTTCAAAGGCCCAGATCTGGCACAGACCCAGTTTAGTTTTTCAAAGGGACATTTGGGTCCGTATTTACAAAACATTTTATCTTACCACCAAGAGTTCTCCTAAATAGCAGTAAAAGCCCTTAGGTAAGACTTTCCTCTTAAAATCTATTCACAAAGGCAGGGTGACTACATTGCTATGGATGATGTTAACACCCTTACTAATCATACGTAGAGATTGGCTGATAGGAAGGGGTCTCATTCAGTGATTTAATCATAGAAGTAGAACAAGCTATCATGTTGCCATTATTCAAATCAAGATTATAATTATATTTATAATGTCTATAAAATTATACAATTATAATATATATATATATATATATATATATATATATATAATTATAATGTTGCCATATTTTTCACAGATTTAAGAGCTGGCTTTAGCACAAAAATGCTTTGTGAAATACTCAAGAGAGAAATAAATTAGGATTGACACAGCCATTATTTTTTAGAGTTTCTCCCAAAACGGCAAGTTAAGGAGCTACTTTTAGCCTTAAAAATGTATTGTGAATACATCCCCTGGTATTCATAATCATTCACACACTCTGTATAAGCACATGAGTACATAAAGACAGTGTACCAGTAGGCTATTAAGTACATGTATTGCTCATAGTTTTAGAATTTACCTCAATTTACAATCCTTTAATGAGGACTTTTATTTATTTATTTATTTATTTTTTTTAATTATTAACAACTTCCCCGAATACTCTATAGAAAAATAAGAGAAGGCAGGCAGGCAGGCTCGTGGTAGATTTTTATTGCAAACTAGACAATTTTTTTTTTACATATGAACAGTATTTATAGTGTATAAAAGCTTTTGATAGTGTAGCAGGGTGAGGAACTCAAGAACAGAAAGAGACCAATGCAATGGTGCTACTTTTATCAATGATACAGATCATACAGTTGGAGTCTCTGTCTGTTGAATGTCTTGTCAGAGACAATCTGTTTTGAACCATCACAATTGATGATGCAACCAGTTAACATACAATACAAAAGTGCAGCACTGTTTTTTGCTGTGGTCAAATTGGGGAGTCCAAATTGTAAAACCAAAACTGGACAAAACTACAAAATTGTTCAACTGAAAGTTTCAAAGGATAAATCTCAATAGCCTGAAACCATCAGCAAAGTTAATGGAGTGTAAAGAATGAAAAAGAACCATTTCTCCTTGCATGACCAAGTATGAAGCAGCATCAGTGTAAAGATCTGGTAAACGCTTCTAAAAGATTTTTAATATTAGCCTATATGTTGGTCCCATTGGACTCCTCTCCCTGCCATTGTACATGCTTAAATAGAATTTAGCTACATCTAGCATTTGAGAAATACGATAACAGGATGCCATCTAATTTATTTATATTTTTAAAGTTTTGATTAGGTTCCTAACTACCAGTCTATCAAGAACAAAGAAGATAATATTAGTGAGAATGACAAACTGTAGTGATAGATAAGTTAAAAGCTATTTTGGCTCCTTTCCGCAGCTAATACATACTGTATAATTATATCATAAATTCTGTTTATATATTTTCATATTTCTAGACCCACCCTTTCACCCATATCAATAACCTCTACAAAGTTTGGCTCAAAGATAACATTTATTTTCCCAAATTGTTTAGAGTCCTCGTTTAGAAGGAGGCACGAGGTGATCGGGAAGATCAGTAGGTAACTCGTGACCTTCCAGTTTAACCTTGATGAGGTGGTTAGCTAAGGCAAACTCCTCATCGTCCAGGTACCCATCCTTATCCACATCAGCGAGCTTCCAGATTTTTCCTAGAACATTGTTGGGCAGTTTGGATTTGACCATCTCTTTCTTGGCCATGGCACCAGAGACCTTCCCGTTGACAGGTGACAGGGTGTAGAAGATCTCGTCGTAAGTTGGCTTGTCTTTCGCCACTATCCACTCCAGCTCATCAATGCCTTCGCCAGCACCCTCTCCATACCCATGCCCGAAGGGTCCATTCATGGTGCCCTCAAAGGCACCACCCTGGACAGACTGGCTGGGCATGGCAGCCTCCTCCTGCCGAACGAGGGTCATGAGTTTGGCAATGTCGTTGGCCAGCATGTCCTCGACTGCTTCCAGCAACTTGGGCTTCAATCCCTGAAACTTAGTGAAGTCCTGACCAGCAAGGACTTCCTAATGACGAGGACAACAAAGATATTAAAAAAAAGAGCATATTCTACCCTTAGAGGATGAGATAATAGTTTTTATATTTATATAATAATATATTTATATCTAGTAACTAAAATAAAACAAGGGGGTAAATGGTTGCAAAACAATTTTTATTACTCTTAAAATCTTTGGCTAAACAAAAAATATATATAACAAAATATTGGGACATATGAAACCATTTCCATACCTGCATTTTACTGAGTTTAGGGAAATCACCAGGTGAGATCTGATGTTCTTTTTCAATCTTTGCGTAGATTTCACCCAGGTTAGCGATGAGTTCCTTTTTCTTATTCTCTTTCCCAAAAACATTTGGCATTTCTTTCTTCAAAGCACTGATGATGTAGGCTTGAACCTGGAGAGAAAACATTTTGTCATTGCATATAATATTTAAAATAAATTTGTGTTATACTGATATTTAAGCAATTTATATAGGAGCAATTTGTCAATTTGAGAGAGACTTAAATGATATAAGAAAATGTATGATGATAATGAATACATACTGTATATACATGCATCCATACATACCAAGGCTGCATTTATTTGATCAAATACAGCAAAAACAGTAATATTGTAATATAGGCTATTAAAATAGAAAAAAAAGTTATTTTTAAATTGTAATAATATATGTTAAATTTTTATTGCATTGGTGGCAAACATTTTCAGCGTAATTTCTCCAGTCTTCAGTGTCACATGATTCTTCAGAAATCATGCTTATTTAGGGCTAAAACAAATTATTTTATAATCAATGAAACTTGTGTTGCTTAATATTTTTTGTGGAAACTATTGATAAATGTTTAAGATGTTTTGATGAGAAGAACATTCAAAAGAAGAGCATTTATTTGAAATAGAAATCTTGTGTAACATTATAAATGTATTTAGTGTCATTTTAATGCGTCCTTGAATGGTAATGGATTATGGTTTCCACAACAACAACAAAAATGCATTTACGGTTTTCAACATAGATAATGAGAAATGTTTCTTTAGTACCAAATCAGAATACTTATGAAGACTGGAGTAATGGCTGCTGAAGATTCAGCTGTGTCTGCTCTGAAATGTGGAAAAAAAAAAAAAATATATATATAATTTTTCACGTTTTAAATTATTGCAGAGCCACTCTTCCCAGTCTGTGTGTAACACTGTTAACTTCCTGTCTATATGAAGCTCCTCTTTCCGAAGAGCACAATGTGCTCTGGTTGGTCGCCTCGACCAGTGTGTTATGATTGGTCAACTGCTTCCTGAGTGTTTCGGAAATGTCAGGCCACTTACCTAAAAGCAAGTTTCAACAACCTACGCAACTCAAGCAGGCCTCGCCACCCATTATTGCATACCTTAGGTGGGAATTATTTAAATGAGTAATATTGTGATGTATACGTTCCCAGAAGAAGGGTCCCCAGCGTTTCAGGGAGTTCAGAAACAGTGCAAACTGATATAGTTTAAAGATTAATCTTACTGATTAAATCTCTTTGGAGTGGACTTGGTACTTTGTAACTTTCAGCAACATTACGCAAGAAAGTTGAAAATGTATAAAAGCAAAATAGGACCCCTTTGAAAAAATGTATAAAAAGGAATACTTCTAAAACTTCCAAGACTATAAACTTGGATCACATCTTAGGTGGCCAATTTATAAAGTGATCACATGAGGGCAGCACACACCAAATTACTAATCTAAACAAAAACATTCAAAGAACTTTAAATCTAAAACTATAAAAGTTTTAATGTCTTACTTTGGCAAGACGTGCCCGTTTGATAAGGTCGTTCAGCTTGCGCAACGCTGCATTACGTGGAAGCCCCTGGATGTCACGGAAAAGGTCTTGTTCCTCTGCCTCAAACAGTTTCCTGTTATCTGGAACCAGGAGAGGCTGAGCCCAGAAAGAACCAATGTACACTCGGATGACCTCTGGTGTGTTGACGATTTTACCGAGAGACCACATGAGGGCGCCATAGACCCTCATGAGCTGCTGGGTCCCGATCTGATCAGCTTTGTTGAGCACCACCCGCATCTTGTCCTCGTGGTTCTTCAGAGCTCGGATCACCTCAGAGAACTCGTCTGAGATATCCAACTTGTGTGCATCAAAGAGAAGAATGATGCGGTCCACACGTTCAGCAAACCATTCGAGCACAGCTGCAAAGTCATAACCTGAAACAGAGATAAGGATATGACATTTTTAATACAAGAGAAGGTTTAAAAAACAACAAAACAGTTAATCCACTTAATAAATAGTCTTTCAGTTTATTCAATGCAAAGGGAACTTGTTTGTGTATGTGAGCATTCTTTAAAGCACAACCCAACACTTCTCTTTCCATCCAGATAAAGGGCAGTACATCAGTCAGCAGATATTTGACCCTAGAACTTCCTGATCTTACTCATCTCACTCAACACCAACAAGCAGATATCTACAAACAGGTAAACACACACAATACAAAATGTGGGACTTTTGCTGTCCAAGGAAAGTCTTTACGTAATAGAACCCATCTCCTTTTATCCAGTCATTTTATTTTACACTACACCACTACAGGCACATTAGGGTGGAGTACAGCTGCCCTTAAACATGAGAGGGGAAAAAAAACAGATGAAGAGACGTCTGGTCAACGACAGCGAACTAACATCATGTCCACTCACGCTAGCAAACAGGAAAGAGAATAAATTGTCCCACAGAAACTCCTTCCTCTCCCCATGTTTGGTTATTTTCTTGAATGGTTAAAAGGATCACAGAGAACAATGGAAATCAGAGTAAAATATTTTGACAGTAGCCAAGGAGATGACGATGTGTCAAAACTAAATTTAAGATGCTGGGATATGAAACGAATGTGTGGTTATGGGAAAAGTCTGTGTACTCCAAAATACCTAAGAGAAAATGTCTAAAAAAAAAGTCTTTTTTGCATTCACATTTTTCAACAGGGGTCAGCATTAATATTGCTAGACAAATTCGGTGATCTTTCCAAAAAGCTACTTATGAGATCTTGAAAGAGAAATCTCTGAAGATTAAACCATATGCCATAATACACATGCTAAAGCTAAGGAATTTCCAACCCAACTCTCCTGCTTACTGACACAGAAGTTACCAATTTATGTTTGGATTGTGTCGAGTGTGTGGAGGACAGGAAAGTCAGCGTCCCAGCTCACAACAGTTGTCAACGTCAGCAGGATGTGAAATCTGGATCTGAATCCAACATGGGCGTGACTTCACGGATACACTACTCTGCTTTATTGACAGTTATCCATTACAATATGCATAGCAATACTAATGAAACAGGCCGTTATGATATGCAAAGACAGTACTAATAAAAAAAGCAAATGCAAAATCAAAAAAAAAAAACAGTTAATTTGTGTGTGTACCAGAAATGCAGTAATTTGGTACACTTAGTAAATAATGTGATTAAAAAAAAACTATTGTTCTTTTTGCCAGCAATTTAGATTAGCAAAATAAGGTGGCTTAAAGGTTTTTTTATGCATCTAAATCGGCATTCTTCCTGAATAGCATCCATTTCCTCAAGGAGTTTCTTTGGTCTACATTCAGAGCAGACACTGATATGCTGGTTGTGTACACATACACACATTAATATGGCTGATAAAGACTGTGACAGCACAGCTAGCTCATATGGATGGAATCTGTTTTACCCGTAATGGTGTGGCTTTTTCAAATTCTTTGCTTGCTTTCCTTCTAATACTTTCCAAAAACATATCCTTGTGTAAACTATGGGATATCCTTGTTTATGTAAGAATGCCATAGTAACTGTGTTTGTCCCTGCACTAAAAATCTGTGATCTGTGAAGTGGGCACACAAAAGCTGCACTTAATAAAAGAAATTGAAATTACAACATTGCAAATAGCAAGACAATTTTATCAAGACTAATTTAATCCTCTTGCCGATACAGTTACGGTTACATCATTAAATGATTCAATCAATTCATGAACAAACAAATGTACAGACGAATGAATGACGACAGACTAAATGAATGACAGTGGAAACTATCCAGATAAGCAAATATAGCTGTTTGGAAAATAAATTACACCAGCCATCTATAAAGATGATGGTTTTGTGCATATTATGTACAGTGAATACATGGCTGGGACTTGAAGTTTACAACCAACACAAAGATCATCATCCAACCACAATTTATAGGCATTTGGTTCATGCTGGTCTGCAGGTAGACTTCATGTTCGTAAAGGGGAAAAAAGCAAAAACAAATTTGGCTCAGTATAGATGGCTGTCATTTAGATTTTAGTATTGACTCCACCCTGCTAAAATCTAACCCAAACATTGACCCACAATCTCTCTGCCTGAATGAAAACAAATTACAAAACACTAGAGATATTAAAGCATGCATAGATGTCATTTAACAAGCTCTCAGTAAAGGTTAAACTCTGGCTTTTGTATCGTGAGACCCTTGAAACAATATATAATACCTAATGTGAATGTCAATAAATAACTGGGAGGTTTTAGTGTTTAGTAATGGGAACCCTTGTCCTGCAGGCATCTATGCAAAAAGGTTTGCTCATAACATATAACAGTTGTGAATGTTGCGTAACAGGTGTCGACTGGAACCCTGATTCAGACCAGATGAATAGCTACAAACTATAAAATGTTTAGGATTGTGGGGGGTTAGGATCTCTTGTAATACCATCATACATTTGACAGTAGACTCCAGACTCAACAGGATAACTGCATGATGCCATAATATCAGAGGGGAGAAATGTTGGAGAATACATACAAGGTCAGTGAGATTGGTTTTGAAAGAAGTCTCCTGTTCACCAAGGCTGCATTAAAACAATAATAATGTGAAATATTTTAAAACAGATAACAAACTTTTTTAGCATCATTACACTAGTCTATCAACTATTAATCCAACACACCTTGTTTTTGACAAATAAAAAGTCTTTGAACCCACTGATTAACCATGTTTCATACCATTCAGTCTTTGAAAACTGAATGAAACAATTTATTCCGTAGTACTATGCTATTATATTACGCCAGCAGCATACATGTGAGAATTATGGAAGGGGGCCTGAAAAAGTAGTGAGAATTCATCTGTGCATGGAAGGAAATGATCTTTTTCCAGTAGCAGCACATGTAAATGTGGCACCTCCACAAATTCCTGGAAAGCACAGGGAGAGGAAGAATGGAGAAATCTGCTGTAATGATCTACATAAACAAAATAGCACATTCTCAGGGGATCAGTTTATCCAAGCTGGAAATAAGTCATTAGAATTATCATTTATGTACACTATTCATTATAAAAGGCATTGATTTACACAGAAGATATAGCAACATGGAATTGTGAGAAAGGGCATAGGCCTAATGCTTGCCCAGAAAACTGCACAGAGAGAGAGAGAGAGAGAGAGAGAGAGAGATTTATTAAGTATATTGAGCAGCATTATGGGATGCTATATCAGTGATAAAAATTGACACGCAGCAAACCCAACTAAGCACTGAAGAATTAATGTGGGCACTGTGTACAGTAAACAGGTGAGGTACTAGAATAGAGCCCTGTGGAACACTTTAAGACAAGGACACAGAGCAACATTTAGGAAATAAACCAAATAAATAAAGTTCACACACAAAGGGATCACAATGGAATTTGATTCCATATTCACCAAATTTAAAATAAAAAAGTATAAAATAAATATTTTATATTTTGACTAATTTGAAATTAATCTTAAACTAATCTTATACGAATATGAATTCTGTTTTCCACAATAACAAACACTAAATGATATAATTAGTGCTGCATGATGTATCGTTTTAGCATCGATATCACGATGTGCGCATCCTCAATAGTCACATCGCAGGATGTGCAATGGGTAGCACACGGTCTGTAATTGATCCGTGATTCATATGGGCCAGCTGCCCCTTGGTTCAGAACTCATGTGATTCGCAGATTAATTGCAAAGTTTGTGTTTATATAAAACCTGGCAGTTTAAACATCAAGAGCTCTGTTTTGTGTGCACACAGAGCCACGCAAGACAGGACGTGACGTTCGTGAACACTGAATTCCCTTCCTTATCAATTTGTGCTTGAACGGAAATGTGCACAGAAAATTAAGTCAAAATGCCCATCTTGACGAGGTTCCTCGTAAACGCAGTCAGTAATGGTCATTATCGGTATTGGATATGTGCATTCATCTTAAAGTGACAGCAGTCCAATATACCCGCAACTTTTGTTGTTTGATTAATTTGGTTTAACAGAGAAAGAGAAAATCCCTTCAGTAGCTTTAACAAAGATAAGCTGTATTAATTATATATATTTAATTTATACAGTAAAGACTAAACAGTGTTATTTTACTGTACATTTGATTATTCAATGTCTGCACTGTTGTCTGCACCTGAAAAACAAAAGCACTGCTTATTCTGTCTTTGTTCTATTATATTCTTCTATGCTTGAAATTACTATAATTTATCGTAATGACCATTTTTTCCAATATCTTGCAGCCCTATTTACAATACTAATGTACTAAAGCGATTTCTTATTAAGATATAGGATCTGAAAAATATTTGGTTTGGAATAGTGGTTTGGGAATAGACCAGTGTGCAGCTTGAAACAGTATATATATATATATATATATATATATATATATATATATATATATAACATAATTTTGAAGTGCCTTGTCATTAACTGTGTGTAAAGTCTAACTGCGGTGAGGGGGAAGGGGGACGAATATGAAGTCAGCAGACTTCAGAAGATTATTAACTGACCTCAAAAGGTCTACGAATGAGCAGGACATTTTTAGGGTTTAAGGTTGAAAGTTGAAACATGGCATAATATCAAAAGTATAAGCGGTCCTCACTGATCAATTCTTCTATAAAGTAAGCGCAGGAGTTCAGAACCACAATATGGAGACCGCATTGCTGTGAAGAATGAAGTGGGAGGAGAAGATACGAATTTTTTTATAAATGAAATGCAGAAAGAGAAAAGGACTGCATTAAAATAGCAAGCACACTCATCTTCCAAGAACAGCATGACTGTGGCTAGATGCCTAAATAGTTGTCATTCCTGAATATCCATGTTTTTCAGATCAGTTACAAAACTGATCATCCCATTATTCTCAGACAGGCCCAGATTTCCTCCTAAACTTATTTCTGTTAGGGTATTGTATTCACACATGAAATCCACTTGACCTCAGACCACATTACTATGACAAGGCAATGCACTACTGCGAATCATTGTCTGTTTTGTTGTCGATTCTTCCTATGTAGGACTTGAAATAGGAGCCAAATACTAACATTTTCCATGTTTAGATAATGACACTACCAGGGCTTTCCTTATACATTTCTCTCCACTAGCATTCAATTACTGTAACACCAGTAAAGAGGAAGCTTTGAACACAATAGAGACAGAATCTTTAAATAAATGCATTTTGTGAAGCGATGGACTTTCCATACGCATCACAAGCTCTGTAAATAGCTTTCAGGGGAAAATAAACAATTGTTATAATATTAGTTATAACAGTTATAAGCAAATTAAATCAGCAATGGACAGGGGTCAGCAAGGGCACCTGACTGGTCTGTGGCTATGCAGTCCCATACGCAACAAACTGCGATGCACTGTCTATTCTGACACCTTTCTATCAGAAACAGCATTAACTTCTTCAATTTGAGCTATAGTAGCTTGTCTGTTGGATCGGACCACACGGGCCAGCCTTCGTTCCTCACGTGCATCAATGAGCATTGTCACTGCCTGGCACTGCCAGCCTGTCACTGGTTCACCACTGTTCCTTCCTTGGACCACTTTTGATAGATACCGACTGACCACTGCAGACAAGGAACACCCCACAAGAGCTGCAGTTTTGCTGATGCTCTGACCCAGTCGTCTAGCTATCACAATTTTGTCCTTGTCAAACCTGCTCAAATCCTTACACTTGCCCATTTTTCCTGCTTCTAACACATCAACTTTGAGGACAAAAAAATGTCCACTTGCTGCCTAATATATCCTAATATATAATTTTAACATTCATAACTAAACAATTTCAATAATTGTCGATTTCAATAGAAATTTTGTGGTGACTACCAGGTGACCCTTCGCTGTGTCCTGTCTCCGCAGTCTAAATTCTTTCAGTCGTCATGCCTTCACCGTCATCACTATCAATCTTTATGCCTCTCATTCCGCCTCAGAGAGAGGAAGAGCAAAGGAGAGCAAAGAGAAAGTAACCCTGGCCTCTGATGGAGAGCCGTCACCTCTCTTGCTCTTTTTAATGAGCCTAAACACTTGTGAATAAAACCATGTGTGAAAATCACTGGGGTAAGTTCAGAGTCCAGCACATGGGATGCATACTATGATCTCACACAAGCTTATACAACCATGTATCAGCCTGGAAATACTTTTCCCCATACACCAATGATGTTTTTACATCCGTCCAAGGCACTGCCAAGGACCGGGTTGGGGTGGGGGGGACCATAGGGTGTGGCCCATTTGAAAGTAAACCTAAATAATGTGAGATAAAGCTGTACGGTGTGGAATGTATGCAATAGTGTTCATGAACACATGGTTATGGTCATCCACTCATGTCTGTACTCTCTCATAGAGCTCACAGGCAATTCTCCTATAACCGTATCCAATATGTATACCACCATCAGATCATCCCCTAATACAAAAACATATCGTGTCTTTACTATTGTACAATGATCCATGATGTTAGCGTTGTTTTGTTTTAAGCACAACAAAACATAGAAGTGCCATGGTATAAAAAAAATAACTGTAGTAACGACGTGCCTGAACCCATTTCTTATTCGGAGAGGCATGGATAATGAATAATGTATTCTACAGAGCCCCTAAAGGGGCATGGTGATGAATATGAATATATATATATATATATATATATATATACACATACAGGAGGAAAAATTATAGTTGAATGCTTTTGCGCCAAACATTTGCGTTCCCCTAAAAAGTTTTTGCGCGCTTTTTTCCCCTCTCATCTCCTCCATTTTTTCATCACCATCTCTCTTTAGGGGTGCCATAGACTGTGTTATTCATTATAAGTTTCTTTATGAATAATTCTGAAATTTGGCATTTGGTACTCAACATCAAGCAGATCCAGTCTGTAGGAATACATTAAAAAAAACCTTGGTACCATTTTAACATACCCACAAAATATGTTATTACTATAATCATATCCAACTTTTTGTGTTTCTGTCTGGTGCCGAGAGCAGGAAAGTCATCCCAACGTACTGCATCTACTCACACACATACATTATACATGCTCAATAACACATAATCTTTGAACATAGATGCATTCAAGCAGTCCGCTCATTTGTACGTCCTTTCCACGTCCTCTCTGTTCCGCGGTAATGTCTGTTTCCTGGCCTGTGCTGTCGCCCCCTTTGTCAGACTGTTATCTGTAGTTGCCACTCACCCTCTGATCACATTTACATGGTCTTCAGGGAAAGCCAAGGAGAGGCCCGCCCGCACGCACACACGCCACGGCAGATAGACAAGCACAGGAAGAGTCTCAAAGTGACACCGGTTACCACCACACACAATGCTCTCAAAGTTTTCTTGAATAACCAACATACCAACATGCTCCATTGTCATTTCTGAGCCTGTAACAGGTCCAGACTAGTCAATTATGCTTATAGGGAAGCAAAACAAAATCCTGTCCCTTATCTCCTGTGCGGTTTAAGGGCAATTAACCACCAAACAAACTACCTAAGGGCTATTAGAACATTTAAGACAGTTTTTCATCATTTTTGTTTTCAGTGAGGGCTTAGAAAATTCGTTGTTCTTGCCAAATTATAGTGTTTGATGGGAAAAGACCACACTGTCACTATAGAATAATAAGGCTTAAAACTTCCCTTCCTTCCTACAGGAAAAAAAAACCTTTGGAAGAAGAGTGGGTTTGTTGTGCTGTAATGTAAACAGGAGAACTAAAAATACTTCCCTCTTAACACTCCCATAATGCAGAAGCTAACTGAATTAACCTCCCTTCCTTTGCTTGGGACATATGTTACACACTCACAGCTGTCTATGCAAATGGCACTTGTATTAATAGGACAGAGTATGAAGTTGTGGTAACTCTGGGAAGGAAAGTCGGGTTATGGTAAAAGAAGTGAAGATGACAATTATAGAAAGAGGAAAAGAAGAAAAAAAACACACATACCTCTGCTAATCCGCTGTTTCTCTCCAGACAGAATTCCAGGAGTGTCTATGATGCTGATGCTGTCCAGCACTGCATTTGGCATCTGAGCACATATAAACCTGAGAGAAGAGGATCAAACATTTAAATACAAAAAAGGATACTTAAAACAATCAGACATTTCACCACTGGGCCTAGAGATCTGGCAGTAATGTTTTTAGTGCAACATGACTGATTGGAAGGAATTCCCTTCTCGTTCTCTCTCGCCAAATCTTATCATTCCAACTCTTACCTCAGCTTTTCCATTACCATATGTTTGCAGCTTATCTTTCTGTGTGTTCTTCATTTAGGTCTATGTGCCAACCCATATGCTTTTATTTCCATGCTGTTAACATACCAGCACATTTTAGTCATACAAAAACAATCTTTAACCTCAAACCCCCCACTACTCTGTTCCCCCTTATGAATTTTACTCATTCCCACCCCTTCATTTTTCCAGAAAGAGAGCCATCACTTATTCTCTACTTGAGGGTACCTTCACTCCTGCCAATCACATCCCATATTTCTTTTCTGCATACATTCCACTCAGTACTAGACTTGCTGCCAATTGACAAAGACAGTTTGTCACTATGGCTGATATAAATCATAAATTAAGCAGGACAGAACAGAGACATTCCTTCCAACCAGAAATCCAGCATGTACTTTTATTTTCGAGAATCGAGCAATAAATAATTTAGAGTTAACTGATAACATCTAAACACTACTAGCCTTTTTTTAAGTCAAGCTTCAGAGTTTCAGGTCAGTAAACATCCTGCATGATGTAAATTTATATACCACCATTCAAAGGTTTGGGGTCAGTAAGATTTGTTTTTGAAGAACTTAACACTTTCTATTATTATTCAGCAACGATGCAATAAATTGATCAAAAGTAACCGTAAAGACATTTATAATGCTTTCTTCCTAAAGAATCCTAAAAAAAGCATCACAGAAAGTTTGGTTTAGTTTAGACTCAGTTTAGACTAAGCCTCGTTCAGCTGCCAGATGGGTATTTTAGAGCTAAAACGAGTAGACGGTGCAGGCTGACACCAAAATGTACAGACTTAAAGGACAAGTTCGGTATTTTACACTTAAAGCGCTATTTTAAGATCATTTTTGATTAAACAGAATGGTTAAGATTAAAATTTTGAGTTTTGGACACATGCTGCTGACAGCAAGTCATTAAAACGGTACAGATGTTCAGATTTTATGTCATTTATATCAGTGTTCTTGGGCAAATATTTTAATATTAACATGAGCTGAGTGGAATAAAAAAAGTCATCAAGAGGAATGATATTCAAAACGGTATTCAAAATGTGTATCTGCAGCGTCAGTTTCCCTTTTTGAATGACGAATATAGATTCATATTTCTGCAGATTTAGCCCGTTGTCTCATTTACACGCAGGCAAAGAACACACATGCTAAGTTGACAGTTCAAGCGCAGCTTTTTTGCACCAACGCAGGCAAATCAAGGCGACAACGCGGCTTTCATTAGCGCTAGTTCTTTAGTGTCGATTTGGCCTGTCCCGACTCTACCCTTACTGTGAGAGTAAACTCTGTTCATACACTTCTAGTAAGCAAGTACTGCACATGAACAAACTAAGCCTGTGATGTTAAATAATGTGTCCTCTTGCTGATGTAATATTCAGAGCTTCATCTCCCTGTGTGTAGTTTGGTATTCAAGAAAAATGTAAATTTCCAGCTGCTTCCAAGACTACTCAAAAACGCCACAAAAAATTAATTTATTGCTTTTTTTGATTCAATGACTCCTTGGTGTGCAAAAATTTCAGAAACCAAGCTGACAAAGTTCAAACATAAATCAAAATGGCTACACAGAGATGCATATCAGAAGAAAAACCTGTTTAGAGTAAGATAGACAGCAGTAACAGAGCATGTTTCAATGCATAACACAAAAGAGTAAACAACCGCAATAACTGTAAATTATATGAATCTTCACCCTGACCCTAGTAGAGGTTAAAACACCATATTGGGCTTCGACGTGCATACATTTGCTCTTGGGAAAACACTACAGTCGTGAGAATCTGCAGTCAGCAATATGGCTCAATCCAGGCCAGAGCCTAGGGAAAATGATGAATGCAGCTGCACAGGAGGGGAAAGTGCATGCATACTCAAGTTACACATGAGTTGTAGGAAGAGTGGGGACAGAACAGCACAAAGGAGTATCCATGTTGAACTGAACAAGGTTAATATGTACTAAAAATCTACAGCAGTGATAGTCACAAGGCACACACACACACCCTTGACAGCTCGCCAGTGACCTTCAAGCTACCTTTGAACCTCTCCGACAAGGTCAGAGTGCAAAATACTGGGAGGGAAAATTCAATATGCTTGATAAGCAATAATCAGCATAATATAAAGGAAGCTGGGGTCATATATTTTCAAACAGGGGGACACTTTTGTAAGTGAACACTGAAATTGCTGTGTCAGTTCCTCAGATTATCTGTGCAGTGCCTTATCTGAGTTGGTCCTTTTTAACCTCTTGCCAACTTATATATTTTTTTTTAAGTGTCAGAACACTAAAATCACACATTTGACACATAAGGCTGGGCAACACCTTCAGAAAAGTCTCTGATCAATTCATGACTCCACTGATTAAAGAAAATCTTATTTGACCTTAAAACAACACACAGTCAAGGAGAGTTCAGGGAGGGAGGAGGGCTGAAATCTTTAGAATCATATTCCCCTCCCATTCATGAATTAACCTACTTATTGCTCAAATTGAAAGCATTCCAAGCTTTTCTTTAAAAGGACATTTTCGTTGAATAAAACACATTTTGCCAGCCCAGGCATGTTGGGGTGTAAATATGATCCGTGCATAATATGATCCCTCTAATTCAAGCATTGACCAGCATGGGGTTGTGGTGTTCTCCTCATATCTGCAATAAGCACAAGTCAAAGGAAAAGTGTAATAGTAGTCCTTGAGAGAAGACACCCATCTCTGCTCATGTCACATGTTGAAAAGACAACTGTGAGATAAACTGACACCATTTCAAACGCCAGCTCATTTCTTTTTCATGTCATTCCTCATGGAGGGCCGCATTCCCCAAGAGCTTGTTAAAAAAACCTTTAAAGGCCTCTGCAGCTGTCAAAACCAGGGTCAGCTGACGTTCCTCTTCGATGAGGGAACCAAAGACTAACGAGCAAGAAGTTTTATGCACACAAAAAGTGTATTGATATCTTCAATAGTTATTGAAACACAATGAAAAAGGAACGTTTTCCTGGTGTAATGGTTTAAAATTGAGTTCAGGTAAAGCTTATGTCAGGTTTGAAAGTCTGAAGACTTTCTCTGGGCGTGACAACTAAAAGTAATAAAGGTTTGTGAAGATTACAATAAGCAAATCGTATAAACTGACAGACATACATGTTTGCAGATCAGAGAACGTGTGATTTGAGGTTGGCTTTCAAAGTGTGTTAAATACAAATGACTATGACAATAGTGTGAGTGGTAAAAAGCAGGAAAAAGTATGGAATATAGTTAAATCTTCATTTATGATATCAAAGACCAGTGGTGAACAAGTTAAGAATTCAGCTTTACTACTGTTAAAGCTCCACCCTTGCACTACAGCTGGCGACTTCAGCATGCAAAGTAAACTGGAAAAAAAGGTGCAGGAGTTTCAATTTTCACCCTCTTTAATGTCCAGAAGGCTCCTATCATTACATTTTATTAAAGTAACGGCGAGTAACGTTTTATGAAATACAAAACTTGACAACCTCTTGATAGACAACACCCTGAAAAGCTGCAATCCTTGGCTAAGAAAACCTGAGATAAAAACAACTGCAAACGAGACATGATTATTTTAAACACTGCACTTTTTCAGAATGTGTTTATTTTTAAAAAGAAAGTTGTTTGAAAGTGTAAAGAATGCAAATCTCACCTGTTCAGAAAGGCGTTTCCAAAGGCGTTAAGTTTTCTGAAGGGTTTCTTGGGGTCGACCACTAAAGCATTGCCTGGGATCAGACCCTCCTGTTCCCCGTACATCACCGCTATGAATGAATCGGTGGTCGGTTCGGGGCCTATGCGCATACCGGGGAAATCCTGCTCCATGAGATGACGAATAAAAGTGGTTTTCCCTGTGGAGTACTGGCCCACTAAAAGTACCATGGGCTTGTTATCGAAATCAGCATCTTCCAGTGCCGGAGAGTGGAAGTCGTGAAAGCGGTACGTGTCTTCTAACGGAAATAACTTGGTCCGGTAGAGTCGCTTCAACCCGTCAGAAACAGTCTGAAACAGTTCGGGGTCCTTTTTCTTCCCGTCCTTGTTCGCCCAGCTGAACATGTTGCAAAATGTGTCAAATAAACTTGTGTAAAATAAACTAACTTACAAGTTCTTTGCTGATTTCTTGGCAGTTTAATCCAGCGGTTCGAATGAATTAACCGTCCAATGTCAGGTAGCGGACTGCCAGCGTGGTGGGTCGGTCCTGTCAGCTGTTCAACGAACTGTTGTTGTCTTTTTATGCATTCACTTATATTAAGCCAATTTTGACTTTTTTCGTAAATCAGACTTAAGTTAGTTTAAGGAGACTCCCGTAAGTTACGACCTGACTTGTAGGAGATCGTTCTCTTTTATAGACGTTGGAGTTGCTCCCACAGCCCGAGCACTCTGCGCGTGACAGTGCGAGCTCGCGCACCCAACAACATTTTAATACATTACTATGGACCGGAACTCAAGGGGACTTCCAGTTCCAAAATAAAAGCTGACACCTCGCTGACGTTATTTTTTTCTAAAAATAAATAAATAAATAAATAAGTTAACATTGATTGTAATAACCTTAACATTTAATTGTTTTAATCAATGAATGAACCAATGAACGAATGAATTAATAAATTAATGAATTAATAATTTATAAGCCATAAATTAGGCCTACTAGTAATGTACTCAACAACATTTAATATAATATAATATAATATAATATAATATAATAAAGCCAATTTTACAGGTTAAATCAATGCTATCTGTTCATGCCCAAAATATTGAATGAATGAACCTCACATGAGAAACTTGGGAAGGACAGTAATATTCCTCTTTTGGGGAATGGGATGTGGGTTTTCTTTTGAGCACGTAACTGGCTGAGTGCTATATTTGTCCTGGAATACAGTGACAGTTGCTGGTCTGAGTCTGTGCCATGTTTGACAGTCATAAGGGGATCCTAGATATTGACACTCATCACCCTCAAATGAATACTCTGTAATGAATAATCTGTTCTTTTAATCTGAAACTGTAAAAATGATGTAGAAGTGCTTAGGCCTTACAAATAACAAAAGTAAAACAACCAAGAAAAGCAAAAGATAAGTCTTTATAAAGATGCCTCTTGTGAATTGGCTCATGTGGCTCAGCTATTGTATCAGAGAGTGAAAATTAATGAAAAGATTCTTTCATTTTGACAGTCATTCATTTAGAGTTCTCGTGTGGTTTGCAGGAATTTCCCAAAGCTTCATGGTCTTCGAGTGTCAGAAAGGATGCAGACAAACAAACCAACCCATTGTTTATTTAATTATTTATTTTAAAATCAATACTCAATTAATTTTGTTTTATCTGCCTGTTTGTACTAAAGCCTAGAGGCAATTTACAGTCTGTATGCTTAATTCTAGTCTTAGAGCTATTTCTTAAGACTCCCCTGCACAACCTTTCAGGGGGCGGGGGGTAGGGGGGGATTCTGGGCAAAACAAAACTGAAAGTGAAAGAAGTCTGACATTTACAGGAAATGGGCTTGGGATTCAGGTTGTTTGTGAGTGAAGTGCATATTTTGTCAGTGATTTCTTTTGAATGACTTAAGTGTTACTAAATGACTGTGCACACCAAGGATAATAAATAGGCCTAATTCAGAACGATAACTGTAAAGTTTTATTAATCGTTCTAATTCTATAAAAAGGGAAAGTCCTTAGCACAACTATGATAACAACATACTTTCAGAACGATTTTTTGAGCCAATAGAAATCCAACTTGATTGTTTAAATCGGCAGATGACAAAAACTGCATCTTGCACTAATAAACTCAGGGTGCATCTCAATTAGCTCCCTACAGTTCAGTAGTCAGCACTGATCAGGGAGTCAGCCATTTTAAGGGTGGTCTCAATGAAAACCAGGGAACGGAAGTTCTAAAGCAGGTATAGCCTAGGTAAAGTCGGTCCTGTAGGTCAGAGTTTAGCTCCAACCCTGAAAAAATCATCTGCCTGTGACTTTAGTAATCCTGAAGACCTTAACTTGTTCAGGTGTGTTTGGTTGAAGCTAAACTAGGACAATGGCCCTCCATGACTGAAGTTGCCCATGTTTTTTAAAGCATGAAACATAAATCACATGAGCCATCTGTTTATTTTTTAATAGAAATGATTATTTAATTATATTTTACATCACATAACATCGCTAGACGGGTAATGAACATAATCTAGCAAACATTTACAATTTTTTTGGCTGAAATGTTTCACACGTGTAATAAGCAAAGTGTTTATCATAATATAATATAATATAATGTCAGAAAGATACCCTTCATACCATTGTCCAGTAGTAATGTTGTAATTAGGATGTTGTCAGGACTCATCAGTGTCCCAATGTGAACCAAGGTTCTTACTGTCCGACCAAGGGAAGGTAGGGCACCCAAATGGGATTATCAAGCATTGGTATGGATGCTAATGTAGTTATCGTTATAATTATCTTTATTGTTATAAGTCATGACACATTGATTTTTGAAAACTTCGTAAACAATTTCAAATGAAATGTATACAAAGAATGTGAAAAAAATGAAATAAGTAGGCTACTGTATGTTTAAAATAGTGTGAAAACCTGTAAAAGATACATTTATTTAAAGTTAAAAATATTTTTATTTTAAACGTTCAAATGAAACAGTTCAATAACTTAAATGCATATAGAAATATAAATCAAGATGTATTGCTAGCTAGCTAGTAGCTACATCAAAATAAAAACATAAATTCAATTTACCAAAAATACATTTCCAAATGAACAATTACATGAAAGTTTTACATTTATACAGTGTCCTGCATTCTCTGTGCAAAGCAGTGTGTGTTTAGTAGGATAAACAGGACAGTGGCCTACAGAACTGACAGGCAGCTGGTCTGCAAACACTGGCTGTCAATTCATAGGTCATCACCCTGTGTCCTAGACCCTGGGTTAAACATGCTTTCTTCCAGTATAGATGTACATTCACAGCCAAGTATTAGGCGTTACATTAAATACGAATAAAAACATTAGGACTTTATATTCTTTGTTCACTTCAAAGGAGCAGTAATGTAGAAATAAGGCAGTTAAAGGTGACTATCTGCACGCAACAGCAGCTCCACTGGAAGACACAAACCTTCCACATGGAGTTGCTGTTACAACCAGTCAGCACCAAATCTTTGGAGTGTGGCCCTTCGGTACAGCGGAAGGAAGTGCACTTATTTTACTATAATATATAGATAGATAGTAGAAGAAGAAAGTGTGGTTCCACCTGAAATGAAAGCATAGAAGACAGAGTTAGATCAGGATTCAGACAAAGGCTAATGACTGCCATTAAGAACATGTGAGAGTTCCTCTGTTGGCTCATGACTTTGACCTCTTGTTTCTTTCTCATCTTTATGACATGCCATAGACTCCATTATTGGCCAACTGCATGTCCAAAGTGCTAAGACTGATCTTGATAACAGCAATTTTATGACAGCAGTCAACATAAGGGTACTCGGCAGAATGCGTGTGTGATGTGAGAGAAATAAGGGTGTGTCGCTCAAAATTGAATGTGCCTTTATGCCTTAATTTTGTGCATATCACTTCCTTTTAGTCATGAGTTACCCATCCCACATTCTCTATCATGTTCTTTCTCTCTTCTTGGTTTCTTCGTTTATATCATATTTTAGACTTTGCCTTGCTGTAAACCCCCCTGCTCTTTGCTACCTTTGGAAAAACAGCATAATAAAGTCATTAAAAGGGGCACATATGTCAGTCTGTGTTATCTGCCCCTGTTATCATCTTGTGAATCCACCATTTTCTTTCTCATCTCTGAGCCGTACCCAACATTTGTTTTAGGTGAGAGAAAATCAATGATATGCACCCATGAAGGTGGTTCATTTTTAACACAATTCCCAATTGCCGTACTTGTTTAAGGAGTAAGTCATGCGTTTCATCAAATCTACTTTGTAGAAAAGAAAATAAGAGTGGAAAAGATGTGAAGGAATATTAGATTGTTATAATAAACCTACTGCTATTTATTTATGTCAGTACCAGGCAGTTTGCTTCATCTATTGAAGATCATTTAAAAGAAACTACATTATATTCTTTTTGATTTATAAGAAGAAAATATTGTTTCAAATGCTTGAGGGCCGAGCGAAAGCCTTTTGCATTCTTTTCTTACCCCCTTCCTTATTACCTGTACTTTGTTAGACAATGCAGGTATATTTACATTAGTAAAATTAATCTAGCCTTTCACAAACAGTCAGACATTGCATTTAGGCTACGTGAATCAGCGTAATTGCAGAGGGTGAAGCAGCTGCATGAGTTTTTTTTTTTTTAATTTTAAATACATATATTTATTTAAAAAATATTTTAATATTATAAAATTTAAACCATATAAAAATTCCATGTTCCTCACATATGTCTCCACAACTTAATTTCCATTAAAGAGTTACTTACCTTCTCAGTTCTTCCTCATGGGAGTCCGGGACGCATCAGGGGAAAAAACAATATGATAAAGAATGCAAACAAAAGAAAAGTTTAAATAAATATAGAGATTAAAAAACTTACAGAAGCATAAAAATATGTCTACAAAATTTTTTTCAAAAATACTGAAAACAATAAAGATAGTGACAGCACGAGAGAGTCAACTAGTGAGAAGGGTGCGTCGGTCAGCAGTGCTATGTCAGGCCAGAGAGAGGCCAGTTTAAAAGTGATTTGGAGTTGAAGCTTAGTTAATAATTACACTCCTCGTCAATATTTAACATCTTTCTAGCCCTGCCCCTCATATTCAACATCCTGGACTCTTATGGACTTGCACACAGGCTACCTCAGGACCCTATTTTGTAATGTTTTGGGTATATTGATATTTTCAGTTAACAACATATTTTATTAAAATTGTCTAAACAAATGTTGTGGGCCAAACAGACATCTAAATCTGAAGCCAGTTTACTTTAAACACAATAAACCACTAGAGGGCTTCACAGTTTAACTTGATTTTTTAGATGCAGAGCACATTGTTTGTTGCACATCACAAGTCTTATTTCTTGCAGTATATAGCTGTTTTCACACACTGCGAGTTGTTAAGGCTTGATTCATAATGCAACACAGCAAATGAGCGATGCAGGTCAATGTCTTAATAACTGGTAATAGCACAGCATGAGTTAATGCTGCATGATTAGACTAGATAAAGTAGACTATGGACTCTAAACATTGATCAAAGAATGGAAAAAATGCTTTATAACAGGATAATAAAATACTCATGATGAGAGAGGGTTAATTATTGTCATTGTTGGGTTAAAGAGCACAGAAGTGCACACTGTGTGAAGGAATTTCAATTGTCAAACCCAACAATGGCATGTAAATTAATGTAGGCTAACACGACAAAATACTCAATCTAAGCACATAATATTGTACATTAGGCAGGTGAAGGTCTGAGACTAGATATTTGCTTTATGTTTCTTGTGATAAGAGGTTTGCAACTGGA